AAAAAAAAAAAAGTCTTACCAGTCAAATCAGTGGCAGAAGCTCTCGCACTGAATCATGTTGAAGTACCCTGACTGTTTGCAGTGATGGCACAACCAGTCTTCGAACAGTTTTCGGCTATATAAGAAAGAGTAAAATGATTTTATGAAACTTGTTCTAAAATTAATGAAGGCTGTTCATCACATGACGCTGTATTGGAACGAGTATATCTCGTGTGCTATTGTATCACACTAGTGTTTTAGACGAGGTATTTACACCACTTAAATTTAAGAAAGAATGAGTAGAACGTAAACCACGTTTTCTTTAAAGTACACGAACCATCCTAACCTCATTTGCCAACTGCTTTCCAGGCATCATCTGTAAAAAAAACTTCTTCAATTTTTCAAATATGAAAAATTTCAGCTAAAACCGCGGCACCCAAAAAATATCTCTCATCTTGCCTAAAAAATTTTCAACATAGATTTTCAAATTTTCACAACTTTGCCTATTCCTGGTCGTAGGTCCAGCCAAGCCCTTATGGTCATTGGCCCCCCGCAATTGCCCGGTAAACAATGGCTTATAAATATAGGCGTTTAGTGTTAACTTGTAAAGCTCCCTGAAGAAGTTTACGACAGTTAGACGATAGTTTGCGAGTGGCTGTAGATGTTTTTGAGGTGGTTGCTGAAATTTTTGAGGTGGTTGTAGATGGTTGTAGGTGGTTTTAGGTGGTTTCAGGTGGTTTTAGGTCGTTCGATGTTTTAGTACTTACGCAACCAAAACTGCAATTAAGAGTTCTTCAGTGTTGAGGGCTTTCTTCCAGCAAGCAATCTTCCCAGAATATCTTCTTCGGTTAGTAAACGGGGTCCATATAAAGCATTTGCCATATTTTCTCTTCCTGACCGGAAGGGTACGTTATTAAATAATACGTTTGTTGAGAACTTCTCAGTAGAAACTGTAAAATCTCTTAGGTTTGGCCCTTGTGACCTCGTTTTCGTGCCACTCGCCCCAGCTTTTACCGGTTGGCGGCCATTTTGGAATAAGGTGTACATGTCATTTTAGATTTAAAAAAAAAAACGGTCACCAAAGTAAGCAGAGCGAAAGTAGAATATGAGGAACATTTCATTATTTTACTTCATAACTCATCATACTTTCGCAATGAGACACAGAAAGATTCTATTTGTGTTCATTTTTCTGGTAGCTACGATGTGTCTTCTGATGATGTCCTTAATACAGACTGATTCCAAGCTCACACTTTCCCCCACAAATAAGTGTGTTGTGATTGTCGATCGCGAAGACATTGTGTATCCGTGCTATGGTAATCGATTCGGAAAACACTGTCTTGTGGCACTCGATTGGGGAGAAATGTGCCCCGAGTTGTACACAGAATTGGGAGGAAAATGTAACTTGATCAACGGTACAATTCAATGTCCTGATATTCGAAACCACGCAAAATTCCGCAACCGACAGGCACAACTCGTCATGACCAGAATGCTACGTATTTTTGACCTCATAGCGCAGAAACACAACATTGACTACTGGATATTTGGCGGGACTTTACTTGGTGCTGCAAGACATCATGGATTTATTCCGTGGGACTACGACATAGATATTGAAATGCCTTTGGAAGAATATGTGAAATTTTTCCAAGTCGCAGCAAAGGATTTACCGCCAGATATTTTCTTTCAGAACTCTATAAGTGATCCAGCGTTGAATCCGGATGACCCAAGCGGTTACTACAAGCATGAAATAGTTGGTATCTACGAAGCAACTTGGAACCCAAGATTACGAGATAGATATAGTTGCTATAAATTCTGTATGTCCTACGGATGTACTTGGCATGATGGGCTCATGATTGACATGTTCGTGTCGCCTCACATGAACAGATCTGCGGTCCCGCGTAGACGAATAAGTTTCGAAGGTTTCACCTTTCCTGTGCAAAATGACTGGGAGGAATATTTAATAGAAAATTTTGGCGAGAAATACTTTGAGGTTCCAATCGATCAAGAACCGAAAGAAAGTCCAGACGTGTTCCATGGATGCGAGGAACTCAAAGGAAGTTCTTAATAGATCTCACGATAGCGAAATTTCCAAGAGTGACTTGCTGAGATGTAACACGAAACATACTCCATTAAGAAAAATAACAAGCTGTATCAATTTCCACTGGCGCTTTCGTTTTCATTGCAAACTTTTAAAATCCATGAAATTAAAATAAAGAAAAAACTGAAAGAAAGTAAAAGAAACGAAGTTTCAATCACAGGCGGCCTAAGCTCCAGCTGCGAGATGATCATCTTGCCCAAGTCTGATCACTCCATTTCCGAACGCCCGATCTGAGGAGCGAAAAATTCCAGCGCAAAATGACCGGGCGGCCACAAATCCAACGCAGAATCCAAGCACGTATACTGTAGTTTCATTTCAATTCACTACAAACTCAATCTTCCCCGTGCAACCCTAACCCTAAGCAGTTTGCTTCAAAAATTTCCAGTTTAGAGGTTTCTAACAGCCCGCGTCCTCATCAACCTTGACACACGACCGTTGAAAACCAGCTAGGTAACCTTGCCTCCTCTTTAAACTAAGCCTCGCCGGGAATCCCACCGTAACTTAGCATGAAGAAATTGTCTTAGCACTACGGGTGCCTAGTTACAGTGGGATCCCCGGCGAGGCTCAGTTTTAAAAGGAGGCCAGGTTACCTGGCTAGTTTTCAACGGTCGTGTGTCAAGGTTGATATGGACACGGGCTGTTAGAAACCTCTTAACTGAGACAACTCGCTAAAATGCGTTCTTTTCATCAAAGTAAGCAGTCAGATAACAAGAAATACGCTGTGGAAGTAAGGTGAGGTATTTTTTTGAGAATTTGACGTATTTTTTTATTCCTTAGAGTGGTCGTAAATATTCCCATACAAACTCTTATAATTCCACCATGACTGTTATTGCACAAGATGATCATCTCACAGCTGGAGCTTGGGCCGCCTGTACTTCAATAAACAATAATCACAGAATAGTTCTGTTTGTTTGCTTAGTTACCCTTTCTTTGTTTTAATATCTTTCAATATCCTCTTTGGTTTCTTAGTGATGTTTGTCTTTTGTTGTTCTCCAATCTTTGTATCAGCATTTGTTGCAAAGTAACCTTCATTTTCTGTAGTATAAAATTATTTTACTTTGTGGTTCAATTTAGAATAGATCTTTATGACCCTTTATTACTCTCACTGAGGCTGTTGAGGTTTCATGGTTTTTCTGTTTCTTGTATACCCCTCACTTTGAAGAGGTACTGTAGTCCCTTCATCGGTTTTAGGACCTTTATCAAGTTTGCTTCTTGTCATACTCGCCCACCATTTCTTAGCATAATTGGAAGTTATTCAGCCAAAAATAATCATTTATTTAAAAAGAAAAACCGAATCAACCTCTAACAGTTCCAGGTTTTTATGACTGTTCACTAATACCTATCTACACTCCTGGGAGAAAGTGGATGTGGGGGAGAGGGTGGGGAAGAGGCAATGTTATTATTCACAGAAGTGAGTTGCATTGTATTGTTTACCATTGGTTATTAACATCAACTGCCACTTGTATTATTTACCTGTGTTGCAATCAAAATAACATCTACAAGATGAAATACAAAGAAGAAACCAAGTGTGCAAAACTTTAACAGTCCTGAAAGATTTTAAAAAATAATATTGTCATCAACTAAAATTACACCAATGTGCCCTTGTCTATATTAAGAAATACATTTTAAAGGCTGACTTTCACTCAACTACAATTAAAGTTAACCTATCGCAGGATATCCAAGATAAAATCTGTCAATTCCACACATACCAAGGAAGACTGATAACAAAAGAACGGTTTCGTACGAGTGGTCATTGCTGAAAGTGAAACAGCAAGATTTTTCAATAAATAATTTTGTTTTAAAGCATAGTATTATTGTAAAAATAAGATCCACTCGTGGAAGACTTACGTATAACGGCATGATACGTTTTGAATGCATTCAGTGATATTTCGACCATCTTTTTCGACAGGCAAAGTCCTGCATTTCACTATGGTGGAAGGAAATGAATAGGATTGTGTGCAAGTTTAAAAGACAGTAAGAACTTTGTGTATTTAGAGCTAGTTAATTCTTACCTTCGACCGTGTGATTCTTCGTGCAGCTAACAGCCGCCTGCGTCAAAGAATCGATTATAAGCTCTGGACAAAAATATCTAAGAGCGTCAAGGAATAAACAGCGAACAGACTTCCCTACAATTTTACCTACATACCAGCCGAAATAAGCTTTTCAGTATTATTCAAAACTACGTAGTAAATAGGCTTACTCTTACTTTACATTTGAATAGGATACTGCCCATAATAAGATCACGACAGGTCACTTTCTCCCCATCTCCGATCGAAGTTATCCATGTAGAAATAATTAGAATAAATATGGTTGTAAACAATGTTTCCACCTAGGAATCATTGCAGAAAAAGCCTTGTACTGCAAGATTTTAACCAACGTCGGCCATAATGATCTTTTTCTTTTCTGTAAAACTGCTGACCACATGTTGTTAAAGGTTCAACTCCTGCCCAGTTTCTTTTCCGTCAACTGCGTCGAAAATGGCGGCCGTTCTAGCGGTTTGAAAACTGAATGGAGGTGGGGATTAAGAGATGGTATGATGATGCCAGAAAATGGGGAAGAGGAAATTCCGCAGAGGAATGCAAAGAAACATTTGAGAGTCTACAAGACTTATCAAGTTTTCTGAAGAAACTTGAGGTGGAAATTCACAAAGTGGTATGGAAGAGCTGTAGCCAAAGTTTTTTCTTGGCTGTTGGGGTGAGGTTGGGCTGGGGGGGGGAAATCAAGTTGGGATCCCATCTGCAACAGTTTTTCTCTGTTTTGTCATTGTATACTCAGGATTTTCTCCACTCCAACCCAACACTAGCTCTCAGGATTTAAAGTAGTGATAAAGGGCCCCCAGTAAACTAATGGCCATATCAGTGTCTTTCTAGAACTTCAGAACATCCTGTTGTGTTACTATGGATTATTATTTTTTCATGCCAGAAGAGAGCCATAGGTAGCTTGATTTCACTTTCCCTTTTAGTCTCTAATTACTGAATTAATGTGTCATACCATGGTGAAGAGCAGCTCCATGAAACTAAAAGGAACTGGTGTACAGTTTATATGTATTTGAAATATGATAGTTTAATATCTAGCTTTAATCTTAGTTCTCACTGTAGTCACTTTGCACGAAGTGATTGTTCTTAAAACATGAGCCTGTCTTGTTGTTAAGTTTTGAATAACTGGTTGATTCCTGAAAAAAAAACCAATCAGATTATTTGCCCTCTTTGCAGAAAGGTGACTCAAACATGATTTTAAAGAAATTTCCAAGTGTGGGGAAACTTCTTGGACAGCTATATGAGAACAATGTTGTTTTATTGTCAGGTAAATGAGATAAAGGGTAATTAAATCTTTGATGTTTTCAGGCAAAAAATGCAATCCTGACCCATTAATGATTTTACAGATAATCAACTGTCTGGGAAAGAATTATCCCTTTCTCAATCACTGAGCCAGGCTTTTAGATATCATCACTGAAATAACAAATATGTTTTGAATGATTCAACTGCAATGGATCAGCAGTTACCTTACAACATCTCATAGTACAGGAGGTAGCCTTGAAAAATACTGTAAGTTCAAGGTGATAAAAAAACCGTCACCCTAGTGAAGATCAAACCAGAATGGTCATCAAGTTAGGAATATTTTTATTTCGGGTCTTATCTGTAAAATAAATTCAAACTTAACGGCAAAACAATAAAGTATCTAGGAAAATAGCAGGGGATCTCTTTGCCTTTTCACTGTAGATGCGTTACATTGTTACAGAGTGACGTGAACCAGGGTCAAGGGGTCCTTACAGTATAAGATGGTGTCTCCTGATTGCAGCTGTGTGAGATGTTGTGGCATGATTTGTTTATTTTTCTTACCTAGATGAAGTGTTTCAAATTGTGGTGAGATGCAGTTTACTTTTGTCAAACTGCTCTGCAGTACAAGAAAAGAATCTTAACAAAAAAGCAAAGAGTTGGGTACAAACTCAACTGAGACGTGCAACCACACCCATTCTTAAAAATAGTATATTGCACCACATTGGAGAATTTTGGGGCTACACAGCTCAAGAATCCTTAGAAATAATGTTGAAAAAGGTAATTTAGATTGTAAAATATTAGTTCAAATAATTTTTCTCATATTATCTGAAGTCATTTACTCATTTGTTTCCTTCTTTCAGTAATAAGGTTGGCCTTGAAGTGGAGAATTCAATTTATCAATCAATCTGTTATCACACTCCTGCTTCACACCAAGTGGTGCACAAGGCCTCTTAGTCTGCCACCTGCTAGCTTTGTTTTCTGTGCTATTTACACCCAGTTTCAGGCCCAACAAGTCTGTTATGGGGTTAAAAATCACTCTTGTTTGACTTGTAGACCAAAGATAATATGTGTACCACATTCATTCTCTGACTTTTCTTTATTTTAAAACTCTTCCTCCAGTTGGTGTCATCGATGTGTCATGATTTAGAAGTATTACAAGGCTTCTTTTGGAATGAAGAAGAAAGGTATGTGACCACCAAGAAATTGTTCATTCCATGGATTCATTGGATAGAAAACTGAAATGTCAATGGATAGCCATTAGGACATGCATGAATCTGGAATAAGAGTCAGTATGTGTTCTTGCGAAAGCAACTTTGCTCCTACAGGTGCACTCCCTAAGCAAGAATACAAATGGGTGACAATAAATTTATAGCAAGGTCAGACAAAATTCTTGGTGAGTAACCTGCAATGTACCGGTCTCTTGCCCAGTATGAGAAGTTACCGGGATAACCTTTGATGCATTCACGGAAGGCAGCGTTGTATTCAGACTTCAGCTCTTCATTCACTGACTGGCCACATTAGATGGACAGCAAATTCTTATTGTGATGTTAGTAAAAGAGACCTACCATTTCAATATAATTCTTGCATGGGGCTAAGTGCACACTAGTCACTTTGAATATCTTAAATATGATTGAACAGTTTTCTGCTGTTTGTTTACCTCTGATCAGTACTCTTGCCTTATTTTTTTCATCCACTTTAGAGAATTTTATCCTCATAAACCAATATCAGGACTATGCTTAAAGGAACTATCTGAATTTTGCCTGCCTCTGATAACTATACCACAAGCAAAACCTTTGGTATGATTTGACATAATTTAGTAACTATTCTTATTTGACCATAAGCTGCGTCTCTAAGCCATCAAGTGAACCCTTTACACCCTAACATCAGTACATAATTCTTTAAACTGTTCACTATACATTTCCTGAGGTGCTGACAAGGAGAATTTTTGGATCAATATCAGTATCTGGGCAACTGCCCACCTACCCCTCCCCTAACCCAACATTAACCTTAACTTGTTGTCAATTGACTGTTGTTGAGTTAGGGGAGGGGTAGGTGGGCAGTTGCCTAGATACTGATATTGATCCAAATTTTTTCAACAATTACAAGCATCTTAAGTTATTGATCACATCCT